TCCTGGGACATGCACATCACACCAGGGTCCCTGCAGGCATTCCTGGGACAAGCACATCACAGCAGGATCCCTGCAGGGCATTCCTGGGACATGCACATGGAACTAGGATCCCTGCAGGCCATTCCTGGGACAAGCACATCACAGCAGGATCCCTGCAGAGCACTCCTGGGACATGCACATCACACCAGGATCCCTGCAGGGCATGTCTGGGACATGTACATGGAATCAGGATCCCTGCAGGGCATTCCTGGGACAAGCACATCACAGCAGGATCCCTGCAGGGCATTCCTGGGACATGCACATCACACCAGGGTCCCTGCAGGGCATTCCTGGGACAAGCACATCACAGCAGGATCCCTGCAGGGCATTCCTGGGACATGCACATGGAACTAGGATCCCTGCAGGCCATTCCTGGGACAAGCACATCACAGCAGGATCCCTGCAGAGCACTCCTGGGGCATGCACATCACACCAGGGTCCCTGCAGGCATTCCTGGGACATGCACAGCTTCTCTGACAGCCACAGGGGAATCAGTCTGGAGCATCCCAGGAGCAGCAGCTGGCAGGGTGCTGTTATAACCTGCCCAGCTGTCAGGAGTGCAGGGGCACAGCTGGGAAGCTGCACAGGACACAGCAGAAAAGCACAGCAGCTGTGCCATGAGCAGATCCCTGCAGGAAAAGCTGGGGGGAAAGCTCAGGGCCAGGGCTGGTGAGTCAGGCAGGGAAGTGGCTGAGCTGAGCCAGCAAGGCTGAGATTAAATCCTTTGGCAAAAGCCATGGGAAAGAAGGCTGAAGCTTTCCTAGAAAACTGTTCCACCCACTCCAGTCCTGGCCAAGAGTGTGAGTACTGGGAGGGACGCAATAACTGCAGCAGGGAAATGAGCAGTGAAGAAGGTGAGACACAGCCATAATTCCAGTTCTGGTGGGGACAAGCACCTGCTCTGCCCCATCTCACAGAACCCAAATCCCTGACTGGTTTGGGTTGCAAGGGACTTTAAATCTCACCATGTCACAGACATCTTTTCACAAAAAATCCTTTCCTTAGGATTTTTCCTCCTGAGAAGCTGAGAGACCTCAGGAACAAAATGTAAACATTGATTATCTGCTGCTGTGGAATGCAACAGGTAGATCTGTGATTGGTATCATGTGGTTGTTTGTAATTTATGGCCAATCACAGTCAGCTGGCTTGGACACAGAGCCCAAGCCACAAACCTTTGCTATCATTCTGTTCTATTCTTAGCTGGCCTTCTGAGGAAATCCTTTTCTTCTAATCTTTTAGTATAGTTTTAATGTAATATATATGTCAGAAAATAATAAATCAAGCCTTCTGAAACATGGAGTCAGATCCTTCATTTCTTCCCTCATCCAAGAGCCCCTGTGAACTTGGTCACATCACCTCATTCCACCTCCTGCCATGGGCAGGGCATCCTCCACCAGACCAAGGTGCTCCAAGACCCATCCAGCCTGGCCTGGCCTGGCCATGCCAGCAACAAAAGCCACAACCACACCAGCTGCAAGCATTTCCTGTCCCTTACAAACACCAAAATCCCTCCTTGCCCAAATACTGTGGCTGCTGCAGCCTAAAGAGCTGAAGGTGTGATGAGCTGTAGTGATGCTGTGTGGAAGGGAAGCACCCAACAGAGAGGTGGAAGAGTTTTTCCATGGTAAAATCCAGGCAGGGTTTGCAAAGCACTTGTAAAAGCAGGCACTGCAAAGGTCCAGAGGAATCCAGTGTGGCTGGGATTTAAGGAATGACCTGGTGGGGTCTGGGTTTCAGCTTTTGGGAGGGGCCATGAAAAACACAAGGGCAAGGACAGAGGGACTTCATTACACCAAAAGAGGCAGTGGTTCCACCATCACTCTGAGAACCAGAGGGCTGCAGGAGACATTTCAAAGGGTGTAAAGCAGCAAAGAGGAAAATAAAGCCTTTTTTGAGGGATTACAGCAGCCCCAATGGCCACCAAAGAAGTAAATTGTCAATCACATGAAGTCAATCACCAACACCTGAAGTTCCCACAGGAAGCCCCAATTTGTGTGAGGTGACTTAAGAGCAGCTCCCACACCCCTGAGGGCAAAGCCACGTTGTGCTCACCTCCCTCCCATGCAGGTGCCCCCAGCTGGGCATTGCCACCATGGTCCTTGACAAAAAGTGGCCCTGGGGACCACCCAAGTGTCCCCTCCCAGCCCTGCCCTGCGTGCAAAGGGCAGGAAGCAAGGCAGGAGTGGTCCTTGAGGGGGAACAGCTGCTCTGAGGATGGAGTGGAGCATCCATGAGCTGGGACAACTGAGGCAGCACCAAACCTTTCAGAGAGTTTCCCTAAAAACCCCAGCAACAGGAACTGGGTTATGGCATCAAACAGGAAAAGGGGGGCTGCCAAAACACACCCTGACACTTCCCTCTGGCCTCATCCCCACCCTGGTTTCACCTTTTTACATTTTCTACCTGGCTGTGGCATCAGGGGCTCTTTTTGGCCTGAACCAGTGACACATCAATATTTGTTTTTGCACTGGTTTAACTATTTATGTGTGTGTATCTATATATGACAGTGTTCACAGGGGTTCTTGGATGAGGGAAGAGATGAGGATCTGACTCCATGTTTCAGAAGGCTGATTTATTGTTTTATGATATATATTACATTAAAACTATACTAAAAGAATAGAAGGAAGGATTTCATCAGAAGGCTAGCTAAGAATAGAAAAATAAAGAATGATAAAGGTTTGTGGCTCGGGCTCTCTGTCCAAGCCAGCAGACTATGATTGGCCGTTAATTACAAACATCCAACATGGGCCAATCACAGATGCACCTGTTGCATTCCACAGCAGCAGATAATCAATGTTTACATTTTGTTCCTGAGGCCTCTCAGCTTCTCAGGAGGAAAAATCCTAAGGAAAGGATTTTTCATAAAAGATGTCTGCGATATCTATATATGTGTATCTCTAGAGATTTTCTTCCTCCTCAAAACAGCCATGTGAAATTCTGGTTGATAAAGAGGAGGGACTGGGTTGAAGTAACACAAAGTAAATCCATTTCAACAACCACACATGGGTCATGCTCATATTTCCTCCTCCACACACACATCCCCAAAACAGATCAACAGCAAGAGATTTTTATGTGGGTTTATTTTTATTTTTTTACATTATGTTAGAGTTCAAAAAAAAAAAAAAAAAAGAACCCAACAAAATTAATAAATATTAAAAGTTAAAAAGCTCTGAATCTCATATGTACAAAACTTTATACATCAAGGTAACACTGGACAAGGTTACAGCACAGGAACGACTCCATGCACCCCCCTGCCCCAGGAGGGTGCAGGGGATCAGAGTCACCCTCTCCTCCTGGAGGCAGGACCAGAGACAGGACAAAGCCACCCAAGCTCAGCCTGCCTTCAGCTGGAATAAATCCCCCTGGATCCCTGGGAGTGTCCAAGGCCAGGATGGAGCAGCCTGGTCTAGTGGAAGGTGAGGAGGGCTGGAACCAGGTGAGCTTCACAGCTCCTTCCAGCCCAAAGCACCCCAGGATTCCGTGAGACACGCAGAGCTGGGTGCCAGCCCTGCAGCACCACCACCCCAGAGCACCCCCACTGCTGGGGGGGTTATCCCAGCCTGCTTTAGATCTCCCCCAGCTCTCAGGTGATCCTGAGGTCAGGATCAGCACCCACAGTGCAGCCCCCTGCCCAGACACCCCCAGGGACTGGGTCAGTGCCCAGCCCCAGCTCTGCCCTGAGGGGTAGGGAGGGACCACTGCAAATATTCCTAAAGCAATAAAGCACCAAAGCCTAGGCCAGCAGGGAAGGGAGGGGAGCAGCGGGAATTTCGGAGGAAGGCCATCACAGCCCATTTTTGGGGGGAAAGAAGGTCTTTTTGTTATGCTCCTTGGAGAGCAAACAAAGCGTTATCTTTGGCACAATAAATAAATGCTGGCACTCCCACGGAGGGGCTGGCAAGGGGCATGGCAGGAGTGGAGGCATCCCAAGGGATGAACCCCACCCTGGTACCCCCACAGGATCCCCTGTGGGTGCCAGTACCTGCCTGTCCTGGGTCTGGGCACTCCATGCGACCACTCCCGTGAGGTGTGCCAGCTGTGTGGCTCAGACAGATGGGGGGCTTTGTTCCAGGTTTTGGGATGCCCACCTAAGGCCAAAGGGCAGCACCCAGGAGGCCAAGGACCTCCAGCCTGAGGTGCTTCAAGAGGAGTTGGAAAAAAGCTCATCCAGCTGTGCCTCAGCAGCAGGAGAGTGTGGGGAAACTCTGGGGAAGCAATGAAGAGTCCAATACTTGAAACATCCAGAATGCAGAGGGGTCTCCATCCATTTCAGGCAAAGCAAGCACCTCAACCCTGTCACAATCCATGGGAAAATCACCCAGGCCACCTCACCAGCCAGGCCTGGCGACCTGCAGAGCTCACACTGTCCCTAGGGATGCCACATCCTACTCCTTGGACACCAGGGAAGCAGCAGCCTCAGGGCCAGCACCCACACCATGCACATGCTCCCAAGGACATCCCTCTTGGCAATGCCAAACTGGTCTGGCTGCCAAGCCTTGCCTTCCTGGGGCTCCACCCCCCGCTTCCCAAAACTTCCTCCCCCACCTTCCCCTGCCACTGCACCCAGAGGTACCAAAGTACCAAAACCATGGAAGCCCCCTCAGGGACACCATTTGTGGGAGGTTTCTGAGGACTGAAACTTGTCAAGGCAAACCCTGTGCCCAGAGCTGGCCCAACACCCAGCAAGGAGAGGGCAGCCCAAGGCTCCTAAAGTGCTGTGCAAACGTTTAGTACTTGGCACAATAATGTGTAACGGCATTAATCACCCCCTCTCCACCCCTTCCCAAGCAATGAGAGGTGCAGATGAATCCTTGGCTCCCTCCTCTCTTTGTGACTGCCCTAAAATGCACTCCTGGCTCCCCACTTCCCCCTGGAAGCTGTTGCTGCCCCAGAGGCACTGGGTCCAAGGGTGCAGGGATGATCCTGGTGATCCTGGGCATTGGTATCAACTCAGGGCTGGCCAAGGGCAGTACTGGCTGAAAAAAGTCACCCCCAGGTGACAGGCATATTTGACACCAATTTTTGGTCTTTGACCTGTGGTTCTTATTGCTCACTTTGGAATCTCCTGGACCATCTCCTGCCTCCAGGACAGAAGCAGCTCTGTGCTTGGCACGTTCCACCTTCCCCCAGGCACGTTTCCCAAACTCTCTACCCCACCAGGGACAGCCCAAAGCAGCAGTTTGGGATTTCCCCACATTTCCCCTCTCCTCACCTCAGCACCTCCCCTCCAATTTTCCCCACCAGATTCCCAGGATCCTCCCATTGCTCTCCCCAAGCTCCAGGGCTGAACCACCAAGCCAGGACCCTCCTGTCCAGCACATCCTGTGCTGCTGCTTGGAGCAGGGGGAAGGAAAATGCAACATTAAAGCCATGTCCCTCCCACATCTTTTTAGCACCTTGGGAGGAAGCAGCCTGTGTACCCACAGCTTTTTTTGCTCTTTTCCACCTTTTTTTCCCCACAGCACTGTCAAAAAGCACCATGGCACGGCTGGGAGGGCAAGCAGGACCATGGGAAATGAGTGGTTTTCCCAGGAATTTCTGGGTGTGGAGCCAGGTCATTCCCAAACCTGGCAGTGCCACCCATGAAAACCATCGCTGGAAGTTGGGGGAGAGGAAAAAGGTGGAGAGAACGGGAGGGAAGGGGAGAAAGGCTTAGCCAGCCTCAGAGGGAGGTGGTTCTGAGCAGGTTACCTGGCCCCCTGGCCCCTTCCCTGCTCCCTGGGGGCTGGCAGCTCCCCTGGGAAAGCACTGCTGAGTAGCCCAGGTGCCACAGTGGGGTCCCCAGCAGGCTCCCCCTGAGCTGGGGCAGTGGGGTAGGGGAGGAGAGGCAGAGCAGGGCTGGGAGTGGTGGATCCCGGGGGAATGCTGGTGGCAGGGGGTGAGCCCGTGGTGGAGGAGGCTTTCTTCCCACAGGATTCACAGCAGAGCTTGTTGTATCCAGGGATGGAGCAGTAGCGAGCCAGCACCTCCATCTGGCAGAAGATGGACTTGTCCCCGAGGCAAGGCTCCCCTGGAGAGGGACAGAGCAGCACAAAATAAGGTGGCATTGGGCTCCCAGCCCTGCACCCCCCTCACATGGGATTCCCAAAGGGAAATTGCAATGCAAGTTGTTTTCAATTACCATCTGTATGGCAGATTACCTTTGTCAGGTGGGCAGTTTGCCTTATCTCTCTTTGAGTGACCACATTCACACCTCCCTCAGGAGGGGACATCTGCTGATACTGCTGATAACAGACTATTGAATGTCACTGCATGACTGATAAGAACTGTAACAGCTCATTGTGAGATGCTCCGCCCAGAGGGAGGAGCCAAGCATTGCTACCCAGATATAATCCAGAGGTTTGTGAGACACCAGCAAGGCTTTCTCCCCAGGATTCCCCAGAGGAACAGCAGCTGTCTCTTCTTCCACTGGATCTTCAGAGCAAGAATACATCCTTCTCTACAGATCTCCCTTGTTCCAACAGAACGACCCCTGACACTGCAGGAGGGCTGCAGCCACATTTCCAATGGGACTGCCACCAACACCCCACAGGGTGTCAGCTTGGGTTCTGACTCTATCAATGTTGTTCTAGTGTACTGCATTGTTTATTTTATCCTTTTATTTTTTTTCCTTCCCTATTAAAGAACTGTTATTTCCTGCTCCCATATTTTTGCCTGAGAGCCCCTCAATTTAAAATTTATAGCAATTTGGAGTGTGTGGGGGGGTGGGGGTGTTTACATTCTCCATTTCAGAGGAGGCTCCTGCCTTTCTTAGCAGACTCCTGTCTTTCCAAACCAAGACAAGGGTGCTGCCTATCCACATAGGAAGCAGGCAAGAGGGACCTGGAAAATGAAGCCAAAGCACTGAAAGATTCTGTGCATGGAGAAAAAACAGAGAGCAAGGGATGCTGCAAACCAAGATGCACTGAGCCCCAGCTGTGAAGGACTCCGAGGAGGAAAAATCAGAAGCCATTTCCCTGCTTAAAAAATTCTAAAGTAAAAAGGAAAGGGCATAAAAACCAGGAGGCAAAAGGAGCTCAGCAGGGAAACTGCAGGACCTCGCAGGCCACGAGATGGCAATGTAGCACCGCGCTCTGGAGCAGAGGCAGCAGCGGTGGCTGAAGCTCCCCGGGAGCGGCGCTGGGTGCGCTCCCAGCTCTGCCCTGCCTGCAGGGAGCTGCTCAGCTCCTCGGGAGGGGTATCCCAGGGAGCACCGCCCTCACACAAGCACTTACTGGAGGAGATCTTGCTCACGGGGTTTTTGGCTCCCTCCTGGGGCACCCGCTGCCCTTTGGTCGTGCTGTGGTCACCGGCATCAGCACTGGAGGTGATGCCAGAGAGCTTCCCTGCAGACAGAGCACCACAATGCCCAGCAGCCACGGAAGGCTGAGGGCACTCAAAACACCTCGGGAGGGTGTTTGGTTCGTTTTGCAGGATCTCCTTAAAAATTAAATCCCTTAAGCACCCAGCATTTAAGCACCTCAAACCCCACCCAAGATAAACTCGAGGGTGCCCATCTCCACCAGCTCATCACGAGTTCAAACTGCCAGAAAACCCAAAACCAGCCAATGCCAGGGCTAAGAGCAGAGAAGGGAAATATTTTGGCTGGCTTTTAACTTTTTTTTACTGCCAGCCACATCAGGGATGTTCAACCCAACCTCCTACACTGGCATCCCCTGAAGGCACAGCAGGCTGGAGGCATTCATGGGGGTTGATCCCCACCAGCACATGCCCCATCCCAATGCCACCTCCTCCTCCCCTCACCTGGGCATACGGCCACGTGGCAGCCCTGGATGGCCTCTGGCTTGTCACCCTCGCAGCGCGCGCTGCTGTCACTGCCCTTGCACACCACCTGCCGCTGCTGGACGCCTTCCCCACAGGTCACCGAGCACTGCGCCCAGACAGACAGGCAGTCAGTGACAGCCCCCACAGCCCCCCAGCATGTGCTGCTGACTGTTCCAAACGTGGATTTTGCTTTCTGATGTGGGGTTTCCCTCCCTGTCTCCCAAACCCCCACACTCTTTGCACAGGGATGCTCTCCCCTCTCACTTTTCCTTGTACCCTCATCCATGGAAGCTTTCAAAGCCAGGCTTGGAGCAACCTGGCCTAGTAGAAGGTGACCTGACCAAGGGGTTGGAATGAGATGGGCTTTAAGGTCTCTTCCAACCCAAACCATTCCAGCATTCTGTGAAAACATCACTGTCTCTTGTACCCTTATCTCCACCAAGGCCAGGCTGGGTGGGACTCTGAGCAACCTGGTCTGATGGAAACTGTTCCTGTCCATGGCAGGGGGGTTGGACTGGGTGACCTTTACAGCTCCCTTTGAACCAAACCAGTCTAGGATTCTACTCCATGACCCCTACAAGCCCCTGACCTTCACGCCCACCTGTTGAAGATTGTAATGCAAGATGTTTTCAATCACCATCTGTATGGCAGATTATCTTTTGTCAAGGGGGCAGTTTGCCTTATCTCTCTCTTTGAGTGACCACATTCACACCTCCCTCGGGAGGGGACATCTGCTGATAACAGACCATTGAATGTCACTGCATGGCTGATAAGAACTATAACATCCCATTGGGAGATGCTCCGCCCAGAGGGAGGAGCCAAGCATTGCTACCCAGATATAATCCAGAGGTTTTTGAGACACCAGCACGGCTTCTCCACTGGATTCCCCAGGGGAACAGCAGCTGTCTCTTCTTCCACTGGATCTTCAGAGCAAGAATACATCCTTCTCTACAGGACTCCCTGCTCCAACAGAACGACCCCTGACACTCCAGGAGGGCTGCAGCCACATTTCCAATTGGACTGCCACCAACATCCCACAGGGTGTCAGCTTGGGTTCTGACTCTGTCAGTGTTGTTCTAGTGTACTGCATTGTTTATTTTATAATTTTATTTTTTTTTCCTTCCCTATTAAAGAACTGTTATTTCCTGCTCCCATATTTTTGCCTGAGAGCCCCTTAATTTAAAATTTATAGCAATTCGGATGGGTGGGGAGGGTTTACATTCTCCATTTCAGGGGAGGCTCCTGCCTTCCTTAGCAGACTCCTGTCTTTCCAATCCCAGACAGCACCCTCATACCCTCCTCCTCACCTCGGACCAGGCTCCTGTCCTCCACTGTGCGGGGCAGGGCAGGCGGCCGCAGGGCCGGCGCGTCTCAGGGCGCTGCCCGGGGCAGTTCTTGCTGTGCAGGGTGCGGTTGGTGCCATCCTGCAGGCGCTGCATGCACTGCACCGCCCGCGCCTGCACCCCCAGCTTCCCGCAGGAGCGGCTGCAGGCGCTCCACTCCTCAGCCACCCACCTGCCAGCGGGGAAAGATGGACAAGGAGAAGGGGTTTCAGGCGATGCTTATGCTGGAAACGCTCCCAATCCAACCCTGAACTGCCCCCATCACGAGTGGGAACACCTTGGGCCACGCAGAGAGGACTTACATGGGCTGGGAGCATTCCTGGAGGTTACAGCGCCTCCGGATTGGCTTTGGCTTCTTGCTGTTGTCACAGAAGTTCCTATGCACCATCCGGTTGTCGCTTTTCCGACGGCAGCCGTACTTGGTGTACTGGATGCCTGAGGGGGCAGAGCGTGGGCAGTGAGGGGATGGGTGTGGGAGACCCTCCAGAATCCCCCAAGTCCTTCTCCTGCATCATATCCTGCTAGGATATCCTGCATATCCCACATATCCTGCTGGGATATGTGCTCTGAGATGTCACCACTCAGATGGGACCAGAGGTTTGCTGACGATGCTCGTGTGGCTGCTGGACCCACCCCCAGGGTCCCCCAGGCTGTTGTGTAGTGCACACAGCTTGTATAAAATGTCCCAGTCCGTGGCAGGGGTTTGGACTAGGTGGCCTTTAAAGCTTCCTTCCAACCCAAACTACTCTGATTCCCAGAGCACAAGGTGCCCCCCACAATCTGAGGGTCAGATCCCAGTATGGAAATGAGGCTTTCACCAGCAAACCTCACGCCTACTTCTGTGCAAACTTTAGTAGTGATCATCTTCAAAATCACTGTTTCTTGGCTCTAAAAACAGCCAAGGAATTTAAAAATCCTAGCAGGTCTATGGACAGACAGACAAAGGTACACACACACAATCATGCAAGCCTGTTTCTCTAAGAAATCTGGCTAAAATGCTCACTTGAACTGCTTTGCAACAACTTCTCCTAGCCAGAGATGCCCCAAGGGGCTCACACACTCTCTACCATATCCAAGCACCCCCCAAGCATTCCCTGTAGGCTGCTATGAAGAGGAAGGTACCTCCTCCACACGCCTTGGAGCACTGGGACCAGCTCTTGAGGGCCCACTCGTAGGAATCCATCTCCTCCAGCAGGACATTGTTATTTCCAATCATGGGCAGCAGGTCTTCGTGGATGATGTACCTGTACATGAGGCTGCTCCTCACCTCCTCCTCCTGAGGGATGACCTGCAGACACAGAGGGAGCAGTCAGAGAGGGGGAAGAATAACGCCATGGGAAAGGGACCACATGGCAAGGCGGCCTCTGCCCAAAACTGGGACACAGGGATGGATGGGAGCGCAGACCTGCCATTCCCTGCATGTCCAGGGAACCCAACCTCTAATTCCCCACATACCAGCATAACCAAAATGGGATTTGGAGTCATAAGCAACTGCTGCAGAGCAAAATGCAGCGACATATCCTTGTACTATTCCCTCGCACAGCTCATCACCCCTTGCTTTTCGTTGGCTCATTCCCTGGATTTAATGACATGGCCTCTTCCTCCACCCACATCCTTCCATCACCTGCCACATCACACCTCAGACCAGCTCCCCTGTCTGTGACAGCTGTCCCCAAGCCCCCCAGTGCCAGCCAGGCTTACCAGAACACTGATGGCCTCATGCAGGGGACCGCTGGTTTTCAGGCTCTCCTTGCCTTGTTCCACAGTGTATTCCCACTCCAAGCCCATCTCAATGAACACTTGGCTTTTGGCTTCTTGGCCCTTGGCATTCAGGATGAAGTTCCCCGTGGCTTGATTCTTAACAGCTGGAGGAGAAAGGGGATATTTTCAATATCATTCCCTCCGGTCACTCGCTTTGGAGGATGGGAATGACCTAAACAAGACCCTCTTTGGTGGGAATTATGAGAGAAGGATTGAGAAAGGGTGAAGGGAAAGGTGCACTAGGGCATGCTCACCAATGCTGTGGGATGCTGGCTCCATCTCCTCTATCTGAAGGTGCCTTGCTCCAGCTGGGATCTCAAACATCTTCAAAACACCTGAAAGGGAGGGAAGAAGGATGGAGGGAAGAGAAAGAGCAGGTTTCCTCCAACTGGACACACGAATCCAGCTGGTGAATCTGCTTCCAAGCCCACCCACGCCTCTCACCTGGCTGCTTGGGGGTCTTGGCCAATGTCCCCTTCACCGTCCGGCAGTGGGAATTGTCCCCCCCGCAGACCCCACACTTGTCATCCTGCTTCAGGGAGCCAACCTCCTTGTCACAGCCGACGTGCTGGCACCCGGGGGATGAGAGGACAAGCCTGGGTTACATGCTTGAGGCCCAGCCAGGGATTACAGCCCTGCAGCCCAGTCCAGGGTTACAGCCCCGTGGCCTGTGGAAACCCAGAGCACTGGGAATATTTCCCTGTCTGCTCTGGGGTGCCCTGACCCCCAGGGGAGCCCTGACTTAGACCCTCATTCATGGAGAAAGTTTCCTACACTCCAGAATAGACTAGAATCCACTAGGGTGTGAAGTAGATTTTAGAGAGTAGTGTAGGTGTGTCACTTGGTGAGAAATTGAGGTTTTGGGATTTTTAGTGTGCTGTGGATGGAAGCAAGATGGAGGGCACAGGGTGTCATCCTGGGCTTCTTCCTCATGCTTCTTCTTTCTCCTTCTCCATGAGTTTGGGTGGCATTTTGTAATTGGGTGGAAAAGTCCGCATTGCAGGTCTTTGGGATCAGTTACTGGGTTAAAAGGGAAAATAATCCAGGTGTCAGCTCTTAATTGGATAGTTTAGCTTTAAAAGCCCTTGGAACAAGAGATTGTTGGCCATTTTTGCAGTGCTTTTCCAGTGCGCTGAGCCTGGTGTGGACAGGGTGCAAAACTTTAGATAAGATAACAATAAACAAGAACCTGAAGACCAAAAAGGTCCAGTGTGTCTCTCTTTCCTGACACAAGACCACTCCAGGAAGGTCCAGCCCTGGGACCCTGGGAGGGCCCAGCCAGAGTCACGGAAATCAGGGAATCAGCAACAGGTACCTGACAGCGGCCCAGCCCATCGCTCTGCCATCCCCCTTTGCTGCACACAGGTTTGGTCCTCAGGGACAAAAACCCGTGCCCCCATGGGGCTGAGCTCCCTCCTGGCCAGGGAAAGGATAGAGACAGCCCCACAGGAGCTCCTCACCAGGCACTCGCCCCGGACACAGACGCTGTAGGGGTCTCGGTAGCTGCAGCGGGTCCCGTCGTGAACCACCTGGTTCATGAACACCACATCCCCCGTGCCCTCAGACTGGCAGATCAGCTCACACTTCTGAGCATCTGTGGCACAGGAAAAGAGAAGGGGGAGAAAAAGAGAGGTGGGAGGAAAAAGGGGGTTGTAGAAATTCATTGGGGCGAGTGAAGGCAGAAACTCATCTCAGCTTGTACCCCTGAGCACAGCCACAATTCCAAAGGCCAGGACATTCATGTGGCTGATCTCCATTTGCAGCTCAGGAGCCTGCACTTCTGCCTGGTACACTCAGGAAATTAAGGGAAGGACGGGACATGCTACATGAGGCTGCAATGCAAGTAGGCAGCTCTGCTCTGGAAACAGGCTGGGAGAGCTGGGAGCATTCAGCCTGGAGAACAGAAGGCTCCAGGGAAACTTAGAGCCCATTCCAGTGCCTGAAGGGGCTCCAAGAAAGCTGGAGAGGGACTTTGGACAAGGAGAAAGGTGTGACACATTAAACCCCATAATGGGGTTTAACCATAGAGTAATAAATCAAGCCCTGGATAAATCATTTGAAAAGATTTTTTTTTTACCCCCATGAAATTTTCCACAAGAAAGAATAAAGTTGTGGGAAGCTTTCTCTACAAGGGGAAGGCCAATTCATTTTGCCTAGGATGAAAATTGGATAAATTCCCAACCAAAGAAGCTGTGGATAGGAGATGGGACAAAGGAATATGAAAAGGCAGGTTTTTGTAAGGAAGACTCCAGTAAGAATTGGAAGGAGTACAAAAGGTTCTCCACAGGAGAATGATGGTGAGAAGCAACAACCTGGAAAATATTTCATTCTGAGCACAAGCACCCTTCAGCTTGTGAAGACTGGGAATGACTTCAAACTGTCAGAAGGCAGGGTTAGGTGGAGTATTGGGAAGAAATTCTGTATTGTGCAGGTGGGGAGGCCCTGGCACAGGCTGCCCAGAGAAGTGTTCTTCCAACTGTGAGTAACCTGGTCTAGTGGAAGGTATCCCTGCCCACAGCTGCAGGGTGGAAATGAGAACATCTTCAAGGTCCCTTCCAACCCAAACCAGTCTGTGATTCCGTGATTTTAAAAAGCTGCCTGCCTGATGTCGGCTTATTGCACAATGGTTTCCAGCTCAGGAACTTCCCACAGCCCAACATCTGTGCAGCTGGCACAGTCTCCATTCCAGGGTGATGGCCACCACGCAGAGGAATTCCTCTGGAGGAGTCTGGCTGCTGCTCTTTTGCCAGGACCCGCCACCACTCACCGTCATGGTGCTCGTAGGGAAGCCAGGAGTGTTTGCTGTTCTGGTGGGTGTAGTAGGAGTTGCGCTTGGAGCACTGCTGGGCACGGAAATCCTGGAAGGGCCCCGGGCACTCCTCGGCATTGCACACCTGGTACTCGTAGGTGGCTCCCGGGCACGGGTGCCCTCCGTATGCTGGGCTGGAAAAAAAACCCAGTGGTTTGTGAGAGGGCTGGAGAGGGGATGGTGCTCAACCCCAGCACGGCTCAGTGCCCCAACACATGGCACAGTGTGGCATTCACATTTTCTGGAAAAATCCCTTTGCCCAGGATTTTTCTCCTGGGAAGCTGAGAAGCCTCAGAGAAAAAGGAAAACAATAATTATCTCATTTGCTTCTCCTGTGTTTTGCTGCTTTGGAATGTGTTTGGAGATTGTTCCAATTGGTGCTGATCAATCCAACTGGTTGATCCAACAGGGGCTTGTTACACTGGTTTCATGTGAATTGTTTTGACCTATTGGCCAATCAGGGTCAAGGTGTGTTGGACTCTGGAGAGAGAGTAATGAGTTTTCATTATTATCTTTTTAGCCTTCTGTAACTATCCTTTCTGCATTTTTTAGTATAGTATAACATTATTTAATATAATATAGTATCTTAAAATAATAAATTAGCCTTCTGAGAACATGGAGCCAGATTCATCATTCCTTCCTGCCATGGGGCACCCCACCAATACAACAGCACAGCCCCCGCAGGAACAGATGTCCCCATCCCTGCCAACAAGGGGAAGAGGCAGGAACCCCTGGCTCGTGGGCAGTTCCAGGTGGGCAAAGGGAGGGAGGCAGAGTCCAGACGTACGGTGGGTTGTCACAGCTCCGGCTGCGGGACCGCACGCCTCCCCCACAGGTCCTGGAGCACGAGCCGAACTTGGACCAGGAGCTCCAGCTGCCATCCTGGCTGTAAGGCTGCTCCGACGTCTTCCAGATGCAGTGGCCCTTGAAGCACCACTGGAAGGGAGGAGAAGGAATGAGTTCCAGGCCTCTTCCAAAGCGCTCAGCACCAGTGGAGAGCCCTCCTGCGCCCACAGCACTACAGAAAGGGTACAGCACAGGAGGGAGGTTCTCTTCATGGTGCCCTCGGACACATCCCTCCCAAAGGAAGCAGGACCAGCCCCTACCTTGCCAGGAGAGCACTCAGTGCCATCCAAGGGTGGCCCTTTCTTGGTCTTGCAGAAGTAGGGGTTGTCCGGGTGGCTGCACCACAGCTGCTTGCAGGGGTCGAAGGTGCGGAACTGGGGAGAACAGAGGAGCTGGGCTGGGACAGCAGTGGCGAGTGCCAGCAGGCTGGTGGCAGCCAGGCTGGCCGGGGACCCGGGGGAGGGGGGACAGCATGGCTATGCAGCCCCTACTCACCGCCGTGCAGGTCTTGTAGCCCACACCGAAGTCGAAGCGGCACTGCTCATCCATGGAATAATTAATTCCTGGCAGCTCGGGTAGTGTGGGCCACTGGTGCTCAAAGGGGTCATCCAGGAGGCAGTCGTAGGAGCTGCAGAGTCAGACAGAGGATTTCTTGCGATCACCCCATCCCTCAGCTCCAGGCCACTCTCCAAATTCAGCTACCAAGAATTTGAATTATCATGGAATCCCAGAATGGCTTGGGTTAGAATGGTCCTTCAAGGCCATGGAGTACTTCCACTAGACTAGGTTGCCCCAAACGCCAGTGTCCAGCCTGGCCTTGGACACTTCCAGGCATCCAGGGGCAGCCACAGCTTCTCTGGGCAGCCTGTGCAAGGGCCTCACCTCTCTCACAGGAAATAACTTTTTCCTAATATCCCCTCTAACCCTACTCTCTGTCAGTGGGAAGCCATTCCCCCTTGTCCAAAGTCCCTCTCTGGAGCCTTTAGGCACTGCAAGAGGCTCCAAGGCCTCCCCGGAGCCTTCTATCCTCCAGGCCGAACACCCCCATCTCTTCCAGCCTGTCTCCAGAGGCCCTCCAGCCCTGGGAGCACCTTTGGGTACCAAAAGCCACCAAAAGTGTGGGTCTGAGGGGTGGCCGTGCCCTCCCAGCTGGAAGGGGCGTACTGGATGTAGCGGTTGAGCTCCTGCTTGCTGCAGCGGGACCAGTGGTAGCGGTGGAAGGCGGCCTGCACCAGCGGCGCCATGATGCTCCCCATGCTGGTCTCGTCGGCGCAGCGGTTGCCCTGCCCGTCGTGCTCCATGCCCAACCTAGAGGGGAAGATCCCAAGGGATTCCCAGCTGCAGCAGCAGAAGGAAAACCCCCTTTTCAAAGGGAGGGGCACCACCCCAGTCAGCTCTGCCCCCAGAACTTACACGTGCCCAGTCTCGTGGGCCACCACAAAGGCCGAGGAGAAGCCGTCCTCGTGGTTGAGGGTGCAGCTGCGGAGAGGGTGGCACATCCCTGTCACGGGAGCGTAGCCTGGGGCAAAGACAGGAGGGATGGACAGAGGAGGGGAGGAGAGAGAAAACCTTTGAGAGAGGAAGGGAAAAAATGAAAAATTAAGAGAAAAAACCCCCACAAATACATAACCTGGCTTCGCTGCCAGAAGAGTAAACAGAGGGGGAGGCACTGGAGAGGAGGGGCTGCCCAGGTCACTTGGGTGGCAGCCCAAGGACAGGCTCACCAGTGTGTGCCAAAAGCCAGCAGAGGTTGCTGTGGGGCTTGCTGGCACCACTGTGCCCTTGTGCCAACACACCTGGGCAGGCAGGAGGGCACGAACAGCCCCCACAACACTCTGCCAGCAAGGGTGGCCATGGCCTCCCAGGCCAGGAATGGCCTTCCAGCCCAGGAATGGCCTCCCCTGCATTTTTCTTCATTTAAAACAAATAAAGAAGGAAAATGAGAGAGGAGAAAAGGCGTGAGGCTCTCCCCAGAGCCCTGCCAAAACCACAGCCCTGCTCCCACAGGGCGCACCCGCACATGCACCCGCCCCGGCCCCAGGACCCAGCCCTCGATCAAGTGCAGTGCAGTGGGGTAGCTGTGGGCAGAGGAATCTTCCCCTGTCCAGGCAGCAACACATCACCTCCATTTTGGTCACTTTTCCTTTCTTTTTCACCTTATTTCTGCCCAATTCAATTAGCTTGTTGGTACACTCCATAATTAACTCCCAAAGTTGTTTTTTTTACGTGTGTTGGTTTTTTTTGAGGCTGACCCTTTTTGGCATCAAGGGAGTTAGTGAAGGAAGGACTTAAAGGTCAGAGAGGCAAAAGCAGGGCAGGACCATGCTGGATGACTGTGCCCTGGGGGCTGGGATGCTGCAAGGGGAGAGCTCAGTCAGCCAGGAGTGGGCAGCAGCAGGAGAGGGGTGCTGAAGAGCTGAGGGAGATGCACATGCCCTACACCCACCCTGGCCAAACCACAGGGTCCACAGAGACCCCGTCCTTGTGGGATACTTGATCCACACCAAGTCACTCCCATAATGGGGTTTAACCATAGAGTAATAAATCAAGCCCTGAATAAATAATCTGAAAAGATTTTTTTTACCCTCATGAAACTTTCCACACAAGAAAGAATAAAGTTGTGAGAAGCTTTCTCTACAAGGGGAAGGCAAATTCATTTTGTCCAAGATGAAAATTGGATAAATTCCCAACCAAAGAAGCTGCGGATGGGAGATGGGACAAAGGAATATGAAAAGGTGGATGCTCACAAAGGCAGGTTTTTGTAAGGGAGACTCCAGTAAGAATTGGAAGGAGTACAAAAGGTTCTCCATAGGAGAATGATGATGAGAAGTAACTACCTGGAAAATATTTAATTCTGAGCACAAGCATCCTTCAGCCCAGGCCAGAAAACCCCTCTGTGCCACCCACTGCAGAGAGACAAGACCTCTACAGCAGCAATTAAAGTTTACAGCCCATCCGTCCACTGCTTTTCTCTTCAAAGGGCATATTTGGGATAGTTTGGTGCCACACTCTAGTCCTTCATTCCACACATCCCTGAGCTTAACAGAGTGTCGGGGGTCCACAAGGACTTTGTTTTGGAGAAAAGAGGCAAGAGCAAGCACGGTGTTACTATTCCAGCAGCCCAATCAGAGGGAGATTCCCAGTGGATGAGGAGCTCCTTGTGCCATGCAGCACAGCCAGGCAAGGACACGGGGATTCTGCAGAAAGTCCTGGAGGTGTGTGACAAGCAGAGAGCCAGATCCACAGGGAAAAGGGGAAGCAGCTGCTGGAAGGAGCACCCCTGGAGCAGGGCTGCTCCATGGATCTCACAACTCCTTCCCACCAAGGGGCAGCCTAGGGAGCCTCCCCCTTCTGCCAAAAAAGGTCCTCTCACCAATGCCTTGGGACACAGTCACTTTGCCAGGAAGGGTCTAGAAAAACGAAACAAAAGCTGGTATTGCACCCGTGTGGCTCTGGACAAGGAGACCAGGGCAGGCCACCAGCTTGGGACAACCCAAGGCCTGCTACTTGGTGGCCACAGGACCACTGGCACACTCAGGAGGGTTTCCAGCTGGATGTCTCCTGAGGTTCATCTCCTGCTGAGGGGGATCCTTCTCAGGGAGGTCATCCAAGTTAGGACAGGTTTCCTTCTCCACCTTTCCTTCCTCCTGTGCACACCAGGAGGACCTGTGCTACAGATCAGGGTGACAATACCCACCCCATCCACGGCATCAATGGAGCCTCCTGATGGAAATCCAGACCTGGCCACCAGCGTGGAAAGGAGGAGATGGGAATTTGGAAGCAGCAGGCTCAGAACAGGGAAAGTCACCTCTCCTGGTAACACCAAAGCACCTGTTTTCCTAATGAAGTCATGAAACATCAGAAGGTTTTCCTGAAAACTTTTATTAGCAAGGCCTCCAACTTCTCAGAGCACACCAGCACAATCTCTGCACCAAGAGGGTGAGAGATTCCTGCAGTAGAACTTCCTCTTTGGCCCAGGGTTTATTGAATGCTCCCATGTCCAAGAAATAAATCCATATAAAAACAGGTTTTAAAGGTCCTCCAAGGGACAGAATAAATTGATTGTCCCCATGGGGCTTCCTGCAGTAGTTCATCTTTTTTTATCTTATTTTTATATTTTTAAGGCATTTTGGGCCAAGGAGAGGACTGGTAAATGAAATCAATGAGCAGGAGAATAAATAAATAAAGACATTTTATCCATTCAGGTTGATGCTCTGGATTAATTCTCTGTCTCTCTCTTCCTCATCATGGGAAGAAAAAAAAAAGTACTGATTTTTATAACTTTTTCTGGACCTTGCTGGCCAAGAAACTGCGCTCGCAAGAAAATCCTCTCACCCCTCGCTGGCTTTTCCCCCCGGGCAGACTGCACATACCTGATCGAGACAAATACAGTACCTTGCATACCTGCGGGCCCAAAATCTTGCCTGGTGAGGAAGACGGCGTGGTCGTGGTGCTCGGCGTGCGCGGGGTCGGGGCGCTGCTGCGAGTGCGCCCAGCGGCACACCTGCTCCAGGCTGCGCGAGGGATTGCCCCGCTCGATCAGGCTCACCGACTGCAGGGAGAGCAACGGGAAACCCACTGCTGGGCAGGGCAGGAGCAGCTGCTGCCCTTCCCCTGCAAGCCAAGGAGGTGCTGTCCCAAGTGGGGTGGTTTGGGGAAGAAGGCAGGAAATGCAAGCATTTCCTTCACTCTCCCAAATGTTCACGCATTCTTCACCCCCGGCAGCTGTCAGGAGCTGGAGCTCCAAATTGAGAGAGGGTAGGGGTATCTCCCTCTCCTTCTCTCTGCTTCTCCTCCCTCTCCTTCCTATCTCCCAAGAGGGAAGAAGAAACTTGTCCTGGATTGCCAAGCAAATTGTATTCTATTTGCCATCTGTATGGCACTTGTCTTCTGTCAAGTGGGCAGCTTTCCTTGTCTCTTCCACAATCACTCCTCTCTCTGGGGAGTCACCTGCTGATAACAGGCTATTGAAGGTCCCTGCATGACTGATAAGAACTATAGCATCCCATTGTGAGATGTGAGCCCAGAGGGAGGAGCCAAGCATTCCTACCCAGATATAATCTGAGATTCTGGAACACCAGCACGGCTTCTCCACTGGATTTCCCAGAGGAACAGCAGCTGCCTCATCTTCCACTGGATCTTCAGAGGAAGACTACACCCTTCTACAGGATCCCTGCTCCAGCAGAACCATCCCTGACACTGCAGGAGGGCTGCAGCCACAATTCCAATGGGACTGCCGCCAACACCCTGACCCACAGGGTGTCAGGTCGTGTTCTGACTCTGTCACTGTTGTTTTGGTTTACTGCATTGTTTATTTTATCTTTTTATTTTCTTCCCTAGTAAAGAACAGTTATTCCTGCTCCCATATCTTTGCCTGAGAGCCCGTTAATTTAAAATTCATAGCAATTCAGAGTTGGGGGTGGGTTACATTTTCCAATTCAGGGGAGGCTCCTGCCTTCCTTAGCAGACACCTGGCTTTCAAACTAAGACAAAGCTGCAGGAGGACTCACTCAGGAAGCATCAGATCCAAACAGTGAGCTGAGGTCTCTCCTGGATTCCAAAAAGATTCATCCATTCCTTCTTTTCTACATCATCCCCTGAACCTGAGAAGTGACGTAGCTGGACAAAGCAGCTGCCTCCAGAGCTGACTTTGGGGAGGAAAAATCATCCCTAACAGAGCCTGGCAGTTCCCACCCTGCTCTATCACCACAGCTCCAAATCCCTTCCCCTCCTCAGATCAACCTCCAGCCCAGAGCACAAACATCACTGGGATGAAGCCAAATGGATTGTTGGTTTTCTCAGCTAGACATTATGTCCCTGGTTCCATGGAAGCCTCCAAAAATGGGCCAGCCTCCATCCTTATCCCTGCTCCTCAGAACCATCCCTGGATCTCCAGGATGTATTTGGGTTTCTGCCAGCCAAGCATAATTCTATAATAAGGAAGTTTTTTCCAATACCTAACTGGTCTTATTTGCAGATCACACACAGAGACATCACTGTGTTGCGTCATTAACACCCTTGCTAGAAAACTTCCTGTGGGACAGGGGCTTGCCCCAAAAAAGTACAGAAAATCACATTGTTTTAAAGAAAAATCTGACTGCTGTGCTCGAACAAGCGTTAAAAAGTAAGTGCAGCCTGAGAAACCACAGGAAAACTTCTCAGGAAACCTTCCCACGCTTTTCCTGGCCATGCCCAAGCCACACGAGAGCTACAGGACAGCCAGGGAGATGAGTCAAGGAGATCCCAGCCTCAGCTTCTCCTCTCAGTATGGGAAGCCACCTCTACCCCATCACCTCAGAGCTCTGAGGAAGCCTCTGTGGTTTTCCCCACATCCCAGAGCAAGCAGGTACCAGCAGATCACATCCACCCACCCACCACCTCCCTCAGGGGCTGTCCAGGCCCTCAGCCCCCAAAATCCAGGCTAAGGAAGGTTCAAATTCACCCCTGCCCAGCACAGTTGTCACCCGTGCTCCGACAACTGCCACATTTTCCCAAGGCTGGGCTTACCTAAGTGCTAAATAAACATTAGAGCACGTCCTGCTCTAACCCGAGCGCCGGATTTACCTGGCGGTATCCCACCATGATCATCCTGACCAGCACGATGTTGATGTGCACACCCAGCGACTCGTCGTGGTAAATCTCATCCACCTGAGGGAGGGAGTGTGAGAAACAGCTGCTCACTTTTCATAACTCAGGAAGGTTTATTAAACCTTGTCAAAAATACAACAGAAGACTGAATAAAGAAAAAAGGTTATGGTGCTGGGAGCAAAAAGTTTTCCCCGCCATGTGCTCAGCTCCCTCACAATGGAGGTTTTACCCTTTTTAACCCTTTAACCCCTCCCAAAGCTCTGTCCATCTTCACTGTCCAGTAGAGACCTCTTCCTCAAATCCTGATTGGAGGTCAGTGTTCTATAATGACAAGCCAGCCCTCCCAGATGTCCCAACTCCAGTTGTCCCTTGATAACCACGTGAGAGGGTACAGGGTAACTGTAAACTTATAAACTTTTCTGAACCTATATACATGATATTTGTCCATTAATTGTGAGAATCAATCATGGCATCGTTCATCTATCACAGGAGGGAAATCCAACAGGGAAGGAGTTAAGGCCATCCCAGCTCTCAAGCCCCTCCTTGCTCCCATGTTCCACACTCTTCCAGGCTTTCCAAGGCCAGGTGCAAAGATGTCATACTCCTCCTCCCACTGTGGGGAGGGTTTTTTTTCCCATTTTCCCACGTGTAACAAGCACAAAGCCAAAAAGCCAAGCTGGAATAAGCCAAAATTTCCACAGGAATGGCTCAGATGGTCAATGACATCACCCATTCCCATCAAGGGCTGCGTTTCCTCCACCACATTTCTCAATGAGCCGTTGGAATACGAATCCCTCAGGGGGATGGAAATGCTCCAGACTCCAGCACCCAAAGGAAAAATGGCTTTTTGATACAATCCTTTGCCTCTCCCCAAAGCCAGGGCTTTCCTCAGTTGAGTCAAACCTGACCTATGGCTCCAGAAATCCCAGGAAAAGGCAACACAATGGAGAGAACAGGGAGGGCTCGTGACTCAATGGGATTTGTACCATCCTCAGCTATTAAAAATGACCTTGCAAAGGAAATAACCAGCTACAACCTCTTCCTTCTGCGTTTCCAGGATGAAATTCTACTCCCAAATGCTACCAAGAGAGTAGGACACCCAGATGGGAAATGTCCCTGAGAGCTGAGCCCAGTGACATGGAGAGAGGCACGGAGTGGGCAGCCACAGACCCACATGAGGCCCTGCACCTCCTGCAAAGCATGTGGGAAAACACAGCCCAGGGAAGAGGAACACCCTGATTTTTGAGAATGGGGCTTTCTTTTTCCCAAAAGGCCTCTCAAATTAACAGTTCCACAAATTGGGTTTCACTGCAGAAGTCAAAGAAACTGAATTAAGACAATTTTTAATACTGACTAGAATTCATGTTTTAATTAAAATACACTTTTTCGGCTTTGCCCATGGGTGGACTAATTTGCCTCAGCTCTATCATAGCCTTCCAGACTAGATGAAGGTTATGAAGTCAGATTTATGGATCTTTTCTATTTTTTCCTCTATTCCTTTGGGGTTTTGCAATTTTACATCAAGGGTTGGGTGACAACTACCCTTTTACTGCTGTCCAAGTCCATGTCAGCCACTCCCCAGTGTTTTACAAGCCTCCCATTCTCCAGCCTGGGATTCCATTTGAAATACCCACTCAAGCCATTTTTAAACCCAAAAACGCAGTGCTAACCTTTTCCCTATGACAACCAATACTCCCAGGAGGTGCCTCCGAGCCATGCAGAGAGGTAATGCAGATCCTGAGCCTTGAATGCAGCTAAATTGATTATAAAAAATTAAAATTAATCAATGAACTGCCAGCCCATCCCCGTTAATGCCTCCCTTTGGATGCAGAAGCTGCAAGAGCCGCCGGGTATTTTATCCATCAGTGTGGAAAGATGGTGCTGGTCAACCCATCCTCAGCTCATCCCTGCTTTCTGTGGCTGGAATGCCCCTTCACCCTCCCCCTTTTGTAAGAATAATGAGGATATGGTGGATTTTTTCTGATGCCAACCCTATTTTTTTGGGGGACATGCACGGAAGGGTGGAAGGTCACACAGTACTGCAGCTGCAAACATTAGTCAGGCTCCAGACCCACTGAGGTGTGAAGGATCCAGCCCAGCAAGGAGATGCAGCTCCCCAGGGATGTCAGGCTGGGTTTTAGCATGTAGGAGGCTTTGGCATCGCAGAAAAATCCCACATCCTAAGTTTGATCCCTTACAAAAATATTGGCAATGTGGCAGAGTGGGAAAGCAAGGAGAGAGGGAGAAATTAAAGCCATGCTTGAAGAGGTGCAGAGCTGGAGCTGGGGGGTGGTGTGGGGAACAGGACAGGAAACACAACCCTTTCCTTCACTCTCCCAAATCTTCACACCTTTTCCTTCAGCCCCAGCAGCTGCCAGGAGCTGGAGCTCCAAACTGAGAGAGGGGAAGGTTAGATGGGATATTGGGAAGGAACTGAGGGATGGGTTAGATGGGATATTGGGAAGGAACTGAGGAATGGGTTAGATGGGATATTGGGAAGGAACTGAGGGAGGTGAGGCCCTGGCAGAGGCTGCCCAGAGAAGCTGTGGCTGCCCCATCCCTGGAAGTGTCCAAGGTCAGGTTTGATTTGGCTTGGACCAGCCTGGGATGGTGAAAGGTGTCCCTGCCCATGGCAGGGGGTAGGAATAGAATGAACTTTCATCTCCCTTCCAAACCTCTCCATGATTTCAGGATTCTGTGGTTGTCCACCAGCGCTCTGCTGCTTGCTGCCTGCTCCTGAGGACCCCTCAATCCATCAGGATGAGCCACATTCCTGCCTTAGGGACCCCTCTACCAACCACAACCTGACCTTGCTGTGGCTGGGAGCACCACGTGGAGCAGCACAGACCTCTCCTTCCCAGCTGCACAGGATATTTGGGCAGGATGCTCAGTAGATCCTGCTGTATTATTCCAAGAAGGGATTTAATTCCATAAATCTTCCTTATAAAGCAGGGCTAAATCCCACTCTGCTCCAGCTCACAGGGGCCTGGTGCTCCTTCAGTATGGTGCTCCATTTCAGCCCTTCCTGGTGCACCATTTCAGCCTCTGACATGAAGAGTCAACCTAAAGCCCAGCCCCTGTTTAGTCCAGGGTTTAGGCAGGGATCTGCACCTAACAGATACCAGCTCAGCAGTGACCTTTAGGGTTAATTCAGAAAGCAGATGTGGAACCACACTGCCCAAGGCTGCAGACCTCCCTTCACAGCCAGATATAAATAATTGATTGGGGGGGGGAGAAAGAATTATATCAAAAGGGTTTGGTGCTGGCTGCTGCCAGGGCTGCAACCCTGCAGGCCCCAAATTTTGGGGCAGGGGGGGAACATCAGCAGGGCCAGATTCCCCCAAGTGCTGCAGGGCCTGTGGAAGAAGTGGGGATGGAGGTGGAGGGGTTGAGCATCGCCTTGGAAATGGGAATTCACCTGGAGAGAAATGGGAATTCGCATGTGCAGGCTTGGCACAGCTCGCCCTGCCCCCTGCAGATGCCAGTGTCTTCAGAGAAACCCCTTCCCCCCAAAACAGCTGTTCAGCAAAGGGCTCCAGTAAAAAAATACCAATTTTTATAACCCACATCCCTGAAGCTATGGGATAAAGATCTTCTTATCCCTCTCATCCTGTTTCACACCATCACCTGCTCTCCTCTTTCATTTAGAATGGAATTTTCCCACCTATAGACAGCCCAGCCCTTAAGGCTCGCTGTGAGTTAAGGGCAAACCAGCAGGAACATCCACCCCACAGGACTGGCCCCAAGCCCTGCAACACCAAGGAGGCAGTGGCACTGCTTTCCAGTGACAGGAACATTCCACCCTGAGAGCAGGGCAGGCTGCCCCCCCAAATCCCTGCAAAGCCCGGCCAGCCCCGAGCCGGCAGCCCCAGACGCGAGATCCCGACAGCAAAACCGCACTGGCAACGAGGTCTAGACCTCGCTGTTCTTCAGGGAAGGAAAACAAAGGGAGAGACACGAGAAGAATTTGCCAAAGCAGCAGAATAGCTGACATTTCAAAACGCCGGGATCGCTTACTCGGAACAGCCAAGTCATCTTTAAACTCCTTTCTTTTATTCTCTCGCTCGGTTTTTACGCTGGTGGATTCACCCTGAGCCTCTCTGCTGGGGCTAGGGGGTTAGGAAGGGAGGGGAAAATCTCCCTTACCACATTTTTGGGCTTGTATAATGCATAATGTCACCTCTGTGAGGGCTGACCCACATTATCTGTGGGGAGGAAGAGAGGAATGGGAGAATTGTTCTGCGAGGTAAAGACTAGATTTGATCAGAGCTCCCTACAGAACAAGGAATGTTGTCCCAGAAAAATAGCAACAAACATGTAAGCCTATACAGAGGGTAGGGAAAAGTGCATGGACACATGAGAGACACCAGAGGTATTTTTGTTATTATCAGTTACCAAGGAAGTGGCTTGTAAACCCCTCACCTACTGGAAAAAACATACACAGGTTAAAATTAAAGCTGAAGGTTTAATTTTTGTTCCCAAACCTCCTCTTCTGTGGGGTCTCAGTAGCACTCTTTGTTGCTCTGCCCTTGGGAACAATAATTTCAGCTGGAGCCAGGCAAGTCCCAGCCTGGAGAGGGCTCTGACTCAAGGGGTTTCCCTAGTAACTCAAAACAATGGGAAAACACCAAAAACCTTTGCATCCTTAACCAAATCATGGGCAATTTCAGACAAAAGCCCAGGAGCCCACTTGAGGCCAGGGCCAGGTTTAACACAGCCACAGCTTGGCTTCTCCCCTCCAAGTGGAGCCACCCCAGACCCGAAAGGATCAGGGATGAGCAGTGGGAAGTCTGGAGGAGAAAACCAAGAAGCCCAACTCCCTGAAGGCAAGAGACTGAAAAGCAGAGCTGAGCACCGAGTATTTCCTCTCCTCCTCTTTTCCAAGGTGCTGGATCCCCTCCTGGTTCCCAGCCCTTGATCTCAGCAGCCCCCATGGATGGGAGATCCCAATTTTCCTTCTGTAACATCACAACCCCTGCCACAGGCAGCAAGCAGAGAGGGGAATGGCTTTCCAGAGGCACCACATCACCCAACATTCATCCCAAGAGCCCAACAGACCAGGTCTGGTTAGGTGGACAGAGCAAAGCTCAGCTCAGAGCAGAGATAAGCTCAGCTACTGATGGCAGAGCGGGAGCTGTGCCTTTCCCACTCACTCCAACCTGACCCCAAATTCCTGGGCAGCATCTGAGCCAAAAAGGGAAGGGCAGGCTGGGAATGCAGGCTGGGAGCTAGCAGGGAAGGCAGCCTGCCTGCAGGGAAGCTCTTAGATGCACAAAAGGAGCAGTCATCCTCATGTCAGCCTCCCGGGACTGACACAGCGCCCTTCACTGAAAAGCATCCACATCTCTGGCAATGAAATAAGGGCTGTGGGGTTTGTTTCTTTTCATAAAAAACCTCCTCCGTGACAAATCATTTATCACCAAGCTTCAGCCGACACAGAGTTCCTAATAAAGGGTTTTGTGTCTTGGGAAGAGCCCCGGGACCCTACCTACAGCAGCGCTGGGAAGGGATCCGCGTCCCACTGCTCCCTCGGCACTCAGTGGAGACCTCAGGGAAAGCCAGGAGAGTTTATCATTACTCCCAAACCCATTGCCCCCGTTCCTTGGGATATATCTTGATAGGAGAGCTCCTAGACAGGAAAACTTTCCCAGTTGGCTCCCTGACATACTCCAGCCCAGCTCGTTAAGTCCTTTCCTCGTTAGAGGGCTGGCCAAGCCTCTCATCCTTCTTCCCTTTGCCTCCAACTAATGGGATTAATGTTCAGCTGTGTGGTCCCAGCAGGCTCCTCCTCTCTCTCCCTCCCTCTGCCACCCAGGCCAGAAAGCAGGACTCTTTTTTTCTGCTGAATCGGGTGTTTTAAGGCAATCTGAGCCGGTAAGGAAACGAGGCGGCGCCAAGGGAAGAGGAGGCGGACGGAGGTCACGGCAAAGCTGGAAAGAGAACGCACTAAAAACCAGAAAGAAAGAAGGGGAAGGGGGTGGGGGGGAGAATATACAGAAGGAAATAATAGTTGGGGGGAAGTATTTGTTGCCTGTATTATCCTGGGGCTTTCCCCCCCTCATTAAAGTCTCCAGCGCCGCCTTTAATTGAATAGGCAGCGGGTCCTCCCTTCTCCCAGCGCAGCATCCCGCGCATTCACTCCCTGAAAAGTCCTGCCCGCGGGGTAGGAACCATGAAATGCGCCTGAAAACCGACCTTTTGATCAGAGCTGACAATCCCCGGGGCTCAAACTGGCCATCCCGAGCCCCCTTCCCCCCCGGGATCCGAAAGGAAAAATGACATCATCTCCGACCCCCGAAACGTGGGAAGAGCCGGAGGGCAGAGCAGGGAACCCGGTGGCTTCCCTTTAATTTAATGTTCAGAAAGTGAATTTTAGTGATGCTGAGAACATCGGGATAACGTGCCAGAGAATAAAACATTGTGATGAAGGTGTTTGCTTCTTCAACACTTTCCCTATTTAGGACCAGCCACTTCACTCATCGTTCACCTCATCACCCTTTAATCACACAAATCCTCCCCCCACCTGTGTTGATAATTCCCCCTTCGTTGCTGGACATGTGGCAGAAATAATGTCCAAAGCAACAACCAAGCACCCAAGAGCATCTTTATAACTTGGCCATTCCAGAGCTGGTTGAGCCTTTTGAACATTTCCCACCACTATGTCAAGGAACACTTAAAGAAAAGTAAATAAATAGAGGTGATAATAAAGCATGGAAAACAAAACAAAATTGGGACAGAGGAAGAGATCCTTGAGCATAGATCTTATTTGCTGACATTCAGGTGCTGGAGGAGAAAACCTCCCTCCAGATGACTGGATGTATAAATATTGATCCTTCCACATCTCTCAGGACTCAGGGAATATGGATGTTTTTACCTTAGAAAGGAATGAAAAGGGGTGTAAGGAACCACCACAGGCTGCCCCGTGCCTCAGAGTGAGGAAGGGTGCAGGAACTGTAAAGTTGCTTTAAACTCCTTTTCAAACATATCCTGAATGGTTATCCAGGTGCAAAAAGCTCCTGAAAACCTATAAAAATATTTCCTCTACCAACAAATAGTATTCAGAATAAATCATGAACATCATCACTGCAAAACAAATTACAGATATGGTCATTTCTAACTAAGTAAGCCATGACCATTCTCTTTTCTAGCGTTTCCTGAGACTTCGGTGAAGAGGAGGAAATGTTCTCAGCCAGGATAAACTTTTGGACTCAGGTGACAGACAGTGACAGCACTGACACACCAAACCCTGCCATTGGCAAGGGGAAGGTGATGGAGATGGCCATCAAAGGGCTCTGCTTTCCATGCCTCCAATTCCCACAGCTATTGAACACCAGAGCCGGCGGTGTGAAGGCACAGCCCTTCCTGCAGCCCTGCTCCCCCTCCCAAACCCATTTCTCTTCCCAGGATAACAGATCTGCAGCACCAGAAGAGCACTAAAACCCAGGGCAGGGTGGGATCCACATCCCCCAGAGCCGAGCCTTACTATGTTCATGAGGGTGAGGACGTAGTTCTGGACGTGCTCCTTGCCATGGAAGCGCACCACGGAGTCATCCACGGCCAGCAGCACCTCGATGTTGTAGTCGTCCTTCCTGGCGTGGCGCCGCTTGCGCTCCGCGTCCCCCAGCCGCTCCGCCAGCAGCTCCAGGGAATTGGGCAGCTCACCCACCTGCACCCCGGGCCCTGGGCAGGAAAAGAAAGAGCCCTTGAGGTGATCTGGCACCACAGTGACCCTCCACATAAGTAGGAATGCAGCAGGGAAAGCAGATATGAGATTTAACTCTAACGGGATATTGAGGTCCGGCTGGTTGCTGGTCCAGCCCACCCAGTGGCAGGTGAGCTCAGAATGGCTCTGAATTGTGAGGACCAGCACTAAAAGATATGTTAATGATTGGACTTGAGAACCTTAAATGTTTTTTCCATACTAAATGATTCTATGATCTGTGAAAAAGTCAAATCCAGGCCACATTTTGTAGAACCATCACAGAATGGTTTGGGTTGGAAGGGACCTTAGAGCTCATCCTGTTCCAGCCCCTGCCATGGACAGGGACACCTTCCACTATTCCAGGCTGCTCCAAGCCCTATTCAGCCTGGCCTTGGACAATTCCAGGGATGCAGGGGCAGCCACAGCTTCTCTGGACAATAACTTCCAGTACCCCAACACTCTCACAACACAGGTGATCAAAGCAAGGCTGCAGCACCTCCAGCCCAGCATTCCCTTTCCTTCTTCTTGACTTTAGCAGTTAAACTGAGCCTAAAGCCACAGGGTGAGATATACAAGGGCTTGTAGAAGGAGAAGTCCTCTCCCCAGGTGAAATATTGATTACCAGTTTCTGGGATAGACTGGATTCCAGCAGCCCCTACCTTCAGGGTGGAGGTCGTGGGGCGGCTCGGCGCCGTCCTGCCGGATGGCCGAGCGCCGATAGACCACGTGGGCCCTGCCGTGCTCCTCCGTGTCCTGCTGGCCCCTCTCCAGGGGCTCGATGAAAAACTCGTTGCTGTCTGTCCGAATCAGGCCAGCCTGGACTCCACAAAGAAACAAGGAAAAGGGGGGGAAAAATGGTGTGGTTTTATATAACTGTAGGGGGACATACATACTCACTATGCTCGTTAAAGATTAATGTAGAGCACACACAAATGGGAAAGGCATCCCAAATAATCTTGTTTTGATCCTACTCCATGACACCAGGATGGTTCTAATACCATGTTCATCTATGACAACCCTTAATTTCTCATGTAGATGGGGAAAAAAAAAAAAGGTAAAGAAAACGCAAGCAACAAAAAAAAAAACCCTAACCTGGCTGCAATTCAATTTGTGTCTTTATATGGCTACAAAAGTCAGTTCTGCCTCATCTAGGAGTTGTGTTGGACCCTGAACTCAGGGATACAAGGCTGAAGGGGCTCCCAAGACACTCCTGAGCCTCCCTGAACCCTCCCCATTCCATTCCCACAGTGCCTTTAGGATATCTGCTATTTCACTGACACAACGAGCCGCAACAAGAAGGAAAGAGAAACCATTCTCTCTGCCCCACAAAGCACTTGAGAATTAACAGAGGGGAATCCCGTCGGGGCAGAAGCTGGAAAGCATTACAACTCCACCTCCCAAACACAGGGAAGATGAATGACAGGGCAAACATCGCTGGAAATGTTGTCCTGGCTACCGACCTGCTCCTAATTAACACCAAGCTCCCATCAAATCCCCCTTACATCAGCCTGAGCGCTCACACCCCGCAGCGCCGGCCGGCTCAGACCTCGGGCAAGGAAAAGGATCACCAGGATTTGGCTTCTCTCCCAGGGCAGCCCCCCCAGCTCGGCATTTTTCCCAGCTCCCTCCGTGGCGCACGCGCGCGTTCCTTCCCCTGCTGCTGAAGGGCTGCCTGGAAAGCACCAGCAGAACTTTTGGATCTGTTTTTGGAGCAAAGCCTCCAGCAGCGTGGACCTACTGGAGTCCTCAAAAGGGTGTTGGGGTGTTGGAATGGTCCTCATCAAATCAAATAAAAGTAAAATATATACAGAGATGTACTTTGGACAGAGGTTGGGGCTCTTCCAAACCCGCCTGGCTCTTTGGGTCCCCTTCATGTTTGCATCCCATTGGATTAATCAGGCAATGGCCAACCTGGCTCTCTTGGATTACACCAAATTTCCTGCTCTACTTGGGTTTCATTAACTGCTTAACTCCACTGCAAAGTGGGGTTTTGGCAGGTTTTGCTTCACCTCCTTCCCGAGGAATCCAAGTCCTTGCCTGACACATGTATCTCAGGTTCTTCCCACAGGAGACATCCAGGTCAAACCAGGGCAGCCAGGGATTGTGCCCCCACCCTCAGCCAAGGAGATGAAGAACACAGCCAGGTTTAACCAGGGCACCAGGCAGGGTGGTGGTGATGAGGCAGGGAACAAGCCAGGGAGTTAAACCACCAGTCAGGCTCAGTGATGGCTGGGTGAGGCCATGATGATGGGGCAGGGCACAGAATCAGGGAATCCCTTAGGCTGGAAAAGCTCTCCAAGATCATTGAGCCCAACCATTGACCCAGCACTGCCAAAGCCACCACTAAAACACATCCCCAAGTGCCACATTTATACATCTTTCCAATCCCTCCAGGGATGGGGAACACAAGCCTGTGCCCGGACCTCACAACTCCTTCCATGAAGAAATTCTCCTAATTTCCAGCTCCAAAACATTGCTCTTCATTATACAATAAGAGAAGGAGCAGAAGCAGCCCCTGCCCCAGGAGGAGCTCTTCTGGGACACCATCACCCCCTCCCAGCCCTGCCACGGGGCGTTTCACTCGGGGCCAGGCACCCCAAAGCCGCTTTATGGGTTTAGGGCCAAAGCCGGGACTTGCTGAGTCAGGCGGCCGGAGGAAAGCCGTGCTGCAAGGCTGGATTAAAACCTGAAAGAGCCTGGTCCCAAGCCACAGCCCACTTGGGTTTGAGCTGCTCTACGGCTCGTGACTAATTATATCTGGCTCAAGGAATAAAGCAGCCCAGACTTTCTCCCAAAGGCGGGATGCAGCGCGCCGCCGACTCCGGGGATGACCGAGGGCAAAGGGGACGATGCTGGGATTTTGTGTCCATCTGATCAGAGCAGCCCAAGAAATGAAACAGAAGCTGCAGTGGTCACCCTGGCACTCACAAAAATAAATTAAAAAAACAAAACAACTCAAAAAACACCATTGCAAGAGGCACGTACCAACCTGCCTGCTCACAAAGAGGAGCAGCTCAGGCTGTATTTCAGCATTTTGGGAGGGTTGTAACAGTAGAGAGGCAGCAGAAAAGGTCAGATGCCACCCAAAAAGTCCCACTTAGCTTTTCTTGGGCTTTTTCCAAGAGTTCAATCCCATCCTCAGTGATCAATTAGCCATATGCTTCCTAGCCTTGATTTTAATTTGGTTTAATAATACCAAATCGAATTAAATCAATTGGCAGAACTATTACCACTGCTTTTCAAACATGAGATGCTGTCTGCAGCTCTCAGTGAAGGCACTCCCCAACCAGAAAATGGCCCTTTAAAGGCAATTCCACTGGAAAGAGGGAACACATACACCAAACTCACCCTCACAGAGGGTGAAGTGTCTTCTCCAGCTCTCCTGTGCCTCCCCAGGCTAAGGGAGAGATGAACTCCTGCCTCACTAAGGGGACCCCCCAGGACCCCGAGGAAGAAACTCCTCCTCTACTGCTGGGTAAAAAGCTCCAACTCCCACAGGAATTCAGGAAATTCTGACACTTTACCCAGCTGAGATGTGGAAAAATTAATAAAGCTGCTGCACTCGACCAGGGAAGCTAAGAGCAGGGGGAAATCCAGCTGCATGTACGGTATGTATTTTTCCTCTAAGATTCACACATAATTGGGACAAAAAGTCCTAGAAAACCAGGCAGTGTGAACACAGACACCACAGATAACAGCACTCCCCTTCCATCCAGAGGGCATCAGGCATGATCCATAGATGCTCCATCACTATTTTCATGCCTCTCTGCAGCACAGGCTTTGCAACCCATCAAACACAACACTTTGCCTTCCTTGACTCCTTTTCCCTGCTCTTTGTGCCCAGGTGAGAGGTTTTTGGGGTGGCTACAGACCAGGCTTTGCCAGGTGAGCTCAAATGTAGCTCCTGGTGGAGTGAGGACATGAAGACACGCTTGGCACTAATTAATTAATTGGGTTTTCAGTCCCAACAGGGCATGGTTTGCATCTCACTGCCAGAACTTGGGATTATCACCTGGGAGAAAAGCCCTCATATCCATATAACACCCACACCAGCTGAGGCCAGTGGGATCTATGTGACCAAAGGGACATCTCGCACCCTTTTCCTCGCAAAAATCAACCCTACAGCTCAGGAACTGCAAGGAAAATCCTGGAAGACCAAGCCACCCTTTTTTCAGTGGGGCATCATTTTGGGGGCTGTTTCTCCCTCCCTTCCCTATTAATTACTGTTTCTGAGGGCTTCTGTGTCCTGCTTATCTGCTGCCACCCATCTGAAGCAAGCCAGGGCCACGGGGATGGAAAACGCTGGCTCTACAGTTTGCAGCACTACGGCAAATCACCCCAGGGCAAAGCCAGCCCACAAATATGGTGTCTGTGGGTGATAATCCTCCACCCATCCCTGCAAACCAGCAAAGCAGGAAGGAAACAAGGTCGGCCACACGCTGCTGAAGCTGGCGGGGAATAATCTGGGATGCCTCCACTGCAGCGTGTCCGCCGGCGGAGATTCCTGCCTAACGCTGCTTTACCAGTCAGGAATTTGGTGGCTTAGATCGGCTTTGAAATTACATTATGGGCCACAGCACCTTCCCACCCTGGTACGAGACACCCCTGCAAAGCATGCAAGGCCAGATTCTCACGCGTGGGTGCCCGCAGGGAACGACAGCCATGGAAGGTGCCACGGCTTTGGCATCTGGGAAAAGCATCGGCTCGCTTGCGCGGCTGAATATGGATTTAGGAAAGACTTTGGGTGGGCTCTCTTTTTCACGAGCTGGGTTCAGGTTTTGGGGGATTTTTCTCCCTCTCCTGACCTGCACTCCCCCCCTGTTATTTATAATCTCAGTCTCCATTTATGCACGGCCTAATCTCTCTGTGTACACAGGCCTCATCCGCAGCATCCCGGAGCGCTTCCTCTGCCCAGGAAGCGCCTCCCACGCGCGCTATCCCGGGATGCAGGAACCACAACCCCCTTCCAAAGGTCATGGACACCTCCCAGCTAAAGTCCACAGCAATTCCAGGGTCCTTGCTCATGGAAGAGTTTCCTCCAGCCCATCAGCAACATTCCTAACTACGTGCATCCCTCCCAGCTGCTCTGCTGCTTCTCCGACAGGTCATCAGCATCATCTTCCCATCCCATCCACTCCTAGAACCAGGATTCGGTTCTGTTTCTTGCTCTGTTTCCTAAATCAAGCTCTTTTCACTGCTTTTAGGGAATCCTCTTGATCTCCTCACTCCTCCAAAGCTGAGATCCTGAGCAGATTGAAGATGTCAGACTCACTTAATCCAGAGGGCCAAACAGCAGAAAGTCCATGGAAAAGAGAAACCAACTGTGATGTTGGATGTATCACAAGGGCAAGAGAGCTGAGCACCTGCTTGTCCCCTCAGCCTCGTGTCCCTCACCAGACCAGCTCCGGAAATTCCTGGTGGAAGCCAGGATATTGATTCGTTGGCCACCCAGCAATAAATTTATTGTGGGAAATAGAAAAAAATGTCCTTATCGTGGGGGGAAAGTCACTTCTTCCTTTACATGAGCTTAAAAGAGTGGGCTTACCCATGGGTGGCAGGATATGGCTGCATAAATCCCCATGGAAAAGCATCCTGTGGTACAAGCTACACCCTAACCCAGCTGGAACAAGGGCAAAAAGAATGACAACCAACAAGGTGTGCAATGGGCTGGGAGGGGAAAACGTGGGGCTAAAGCCTAGGAAACCCTGGAAAAGTTAAATTAAAGCCTGCTTGGGATTGACACTAACAATAGAGTGGGCTCTGGGGAAGAAAACTCCCAGAGCTGTGCCACAGCAGGACACAGATCAGCTGCCAGTGGCCTCCAGCATCCTTTAGCTCCTGATGCCAAAGGGAATGAGATCTGCCAGGGAACCTGCATGCTCCCAACCTTGCTCTGTGCTCCAAACCCTGCTCTGTGCTCCAGACTCGGCACTCTCTGCTGGGTCTGTAGGAAATGCCTTTAAAGCTTCCAAGCCTGCCCACACCGGCCAGCCCCAGCACAATCCGTGCCCCAGAGAAATGTCTGTGAGTCCACAGCCTCAGCCCATTCCCAAAAGGATGCTTCAAAAGGTGTGGATTACGTGCTAAAAAAATGTGATTCCTGTACGTAGGCGAAATACGTATTTCTAGCTGTGCTGCTCTATCATTTCTGCTTGTACAGTAGCATCAGGCACTGTATAAAAAGAAAGGAATGCCAAATTGTTTGTGCTGGTGGCCAAAATTGGCTTAAGGAGCTCCCAGAATAAAGCAACTAAAAAAGAAATATATACAAAAAATATTTTTAAAAAGGCACAAAAAAAGGCATTTCTTCCAACCCAGCAGTAAGTTTAAGTGGCACCAGGAGAAAACAGCAAACTCTGGCATCTAAAAAAAGATTTAAATTGGCTCAAAGGAAATCTGAAGGGCAACGGGCCAAGGGTATTAAAAAATAAGCGCTTCCCCAAGCATATCAAAGGTAGGGAACCCACAGGCAGAGCAGATGCTGGGGATAATGAGGTAACAGAGCCATTTAAAGGAATTAAAGCGCTGTGGCAGCAAGTTACTGATGCTGAACTGTGCTCAGAAAGCCAAGAGCCTCCCAGCCCCTGAGTGATTAGGGAGAAAAAAAAAAAAAAAGAAAAAGACATCCTCCTGCAAAAAGATGCTTGGTGGGAGCCAGACTGCAGCTAGCAGTGATTTCAGGAGGTGCTGCAGCTCACACAGCACCATTTAAGAGGCAGGAAACACAGAGGAAAAGTTTCCAGAGCAGTCCCAAGGTAAAACACGGGTGGGCAAGGATGGAACAGCGTCACCATGAGTGTGGGTCCCTGTCCCAGAGGCTGGGCACAGCCCATGGAAGCAACAGCATCTGGGCAGGAGGCACTTCAGGCACAGGGCTGGCAAGTTTTCCAAGCCTTTAAAATAAATACTGGTGCACAAACCACCCTGATGGAGCAGGCAGATAACACCCAGGGGAAAGGGGACCTGCTGCTGTCAAGGCCTAAAGGGCAACATATGGCACAGACACCTAAAGCATCACCAAAAATTCAGATTTCAGGACACCAGGATTCATCTCTTTGGAGGAAAAGGCACCAAAACACAGGCAGCACACACAAAGCACCTGTGGTGGTTCTGCATGGGAGGCGTTTAGGGAAGTGACAATTTTACGTTTTGTTTCTTTACATTGTCGGCGAGAAAAGTGTTCTGAAGGTTTCGGTGTGATTTTTATTACTCTTTCTTTTAGTTACTGCCAATAATTTCTTCTTTATACTCTAGAAAAGTTTCGAGCTTACTTCACTTTTCTCCTAATCCTACCTCACAGCAAAAAGGTAAGTGATTATCCAGCACTAAAACCCACCACACCCACTAGCACACTAACCGGAAAATCTCGAAATTTACAAAATCTCGAAATTAACAAAATCTCGAAATTAACAAAATCTCAAACTAACAAACCACAACCACCAGCCCCCAGCTTACCAGCCCATCGCAGTTGCTGATGGCCACGGCAGCTCCGGGCATGCCGGAGATGTCGCCGGTGAAGAGGCAGCGCTGCTGGAGGGGCTCCCGGAACAGCACCTGGAAATCCTCCTGCCACTCGGCCACGGCTCCCGGCGGCACCAGGCGCTGGTTGGGGCTCAGCCGGAGGTGCAGCTCCGTCCCGAACACCGTGACGTTGAAATAGAGCAGGCGGCGCTGGGGGGGCTCCTCCGGGGGGCTGCGGCGGGGCCGGGGCCGGGGCCGGGCCGGGAGCGGGGCTGGCTGCGGGGCACAGACGGGCTGCCCGAGCCCCGCCGCCGCCTCGCCGGACACCACGTGCGACAGGAAGCGGCCCCGGCAGTCGGTGCTGAAGGGGACGATCACTCCATACTCGCTGAGCTTGCCGGACAGGAGGAGCTCTGCGGGGACAGCGGCGAGCAAAGGGCCGTGAGCACGCACGGAGCATCCCGCCGGGGCCGCCCCAGCCTGGGGAGCCTCTCGGGGCCCGACGGACCCCACAGCAGCTTCTCCGTCCCGACCCGGCTCCGCTTTGTAGTTTTAAGCGGGTGCGTCCAGCGTAGCAGAAGGAACTCGGGCTGACGTCCCCTCGCACGCCGAGCACGCCAACTATTTCTCGCCCAGCCTCCATCTCCCCCAATTCCCGCTGAAGCCTCCCCCCAGCAGCAGCGGGATCCCTCTCCCTTCTCCCCATCCGCAGCCACCTGTCAGCCCCCCTGTGCCCCCGTACCTGGGGCGCTGCCGGCGGCCAGGCAGCCGTGCAGGGGGACGAGGCAGGAGAGCACCAGCCGCAGATAATCCATTTGGGGCCGGCGGCGGGATGCGGGCCCGGCGGGATGCGGGATGCGGGGCGGGCGGCGCCCGGCGACCGCCTCCCCCCGCCGCCGCCGCCGCCGGGGCCACCGGCGCTCCCGCCGCCGCCGCTTCTGCCGCCTCCCGGGCGGCGTGGGGCGGGCCGGGGGCCGGGTCTGGGCCAGGGGGTGGGAGGTCGGGCTCGTTTTAATTTAATTTCTTTGAATTTTTAAAAATTTTTTTAAACATAGTTTTCTTATTAAAGACGCGGAGCCGGGGGGGGTTGGGGGAGTGGGGGGGGGGGGGGGGGGGAAAGTTCTCGCGTTGCCTGTGGATCGTTCTTTTCTTGGAGATTTAAAAAAAAAAAAAAAAAAAGCCTTTTCGGGCAGCCCTCCCTCCCTTTCCTTTCCTCCCTCCCACCATCCCGCCTCCCCATCGCTCCCCGCCCCGCGGCCGCCCGGCTCCAGCGCTGCCCGAACAAAGGCGAGGCGCGCCGGGAGCCGGGGAGCGCCCCCGGCCCTGCCCCGGTCCCCAAATCGCACCCCCGGCCCCGCACGGAGGGAGATGCTCCACACGGAGACCCGAATCCTCCCCCAGCTCAGGGCGCTGCCGCCGTGTGAGCTCTGGAGGTAAACGTCCCGTTTGGAAACAGCTGGGATATCTTCCAGATGTGGAAACATCCCTAAGAGAGAAACTGAAAATGCCCCATCCCTGGCAGTGCCCAAGGCCAGGTTGGATGGGGCTTGAAGCAACCGGGGGTAGTGGAAGATGTCCCTGCCCATGGCAGGAGGCTGAAAAGCAATAAGTTTTAAGGTTCTTTCCAACCCAAACCATCCCATGATCCCATTTAATTTTTCTTTCTTCCCTCTCCTCCTGTTTTTGGGGGGCAAACAGTCAGAAGGAGGTCCTGGCTTTGCTCCTGGATGCCCTCTTGCTGGCTCTCCAAGGAAAACCCACACTCCTTGGGTTTTCCAAAGGGCATCACCACAGCTCCAGAGCTGGGAGCCCGCAGCTAACACGTGCTGTGCTTCCTCAGGCTCCTCCTCCTCACCACCCTGACAAGGGGCAAATAAACCCAGTACTCCCCTAAAAAAACTCAGCAGAACTCAACAAACCCAGCACTGTGCTAAAAGGGCTTCCCACATCATGGAACCATGGAATGGTTTGGGTTGGAAGATCAAGATCATCGTGCCATGGGCAGGGACACCCTCCCCTATTCCAGGTTGCTCCAAGCCCTGTCCAACCTGGCCCTGGACGCTTCCAGGGATCCAGGGGCATCCATCAGCACAGAGCAACAAACCTCCTGGCACTGTTTCCATTTGCTGTGTCCAGCTAATTTTTCCTTCTGAACAGGACTCCAGAAGTGAAGGGGCTGTGCTGGACACCAGTAACACCAGTTGTGCTGATTGTGCTGGGATTTTACTGCTGTGGGGCCCAGCAGCTCTTGGGGTTACACTGAGCAAGCCAAAACCTTTCCCAAGAGGTGATTCCTGCCTTGAGGAACTTTCATCCAAGCTGCCACACAGGCCAGAGCATGAGGGAAAAGGCAAGCAGGAAAACAGCGTGCCAGCCTGCAAGCTTACCGTCAGGAACTGGGATTCTGGTTTTGGACATCTTTGGTAGGACCCCAGCTGGAGCTTTGTTCCATCAGCACAGCAATGCCCAGAATGGTAGGAAAGGATCAGAATTTGGGAAAATGCCCTGCTTACCTCCCCTGCAGGTATGGGAGGATGGTGGGGCTGCTGGTGCCAGGAGGAGGATCCAGAGGTGGAGATGGGGAACCCCTTGGAGATGGTCCTGCTGCAGCCATTTCTGGAAAGGCACCACTCTCCTGTGTCCTGCTGCCAGAGCATCCCTCCAGAGGAAGGGAGAGCTTTGCCTTCCAGCTGGGTGACTGGGTTGGGTTTTGGGGCAAAGAGGAGAAGCTGAGGCTGCAGTGATCAAAATCCAGTCCAGAATTCCCTGTAGCTAAAGCCACAGGATTCCCCCAAAAGGAGAGAGGAATACACTTACTTCAAGTAGAGAATTTCAAGCTGGAAGAAAACCAGATTTTAATTCCCACTCTAAGTCCTTTCATGCTTCTGTTTGCTTTGTGCAATCTATAATTAAAGAGGAGAAATGATCTGCAAGGGATTCTTTGCAGAAGAGATAGAAAAAGAATTTGTGCTCCGAGCATTTAGGATGCTTTTGGAAGATTCGCACCCGCTGGAGCATCAAAGCTGGAATGAGCCCTTAGTTTGGCTGAAAAGATTTATGAGGAAACATGCAATAAAGGGCATGCTTTACTTGTGAAGAACAGCTCTGGAAAGCATTATTTAACTACTGTTTTTCAGAGGCAAAAACTATTTCTTCATCCACAAGATCTGTGAATTCATCCAGTCCCTCTAGAGCTTTGTGCCTCCCCTGATGTTACCAAATCTCTGGCTTTGGCAGCAAAAGCTTGGCTGAATGACAATGGCAATGACCTGACACACAGCTTGCCTCATTTATTACCTTCTAAAGGTAATAATTAAACAGGTTTGGGTACCTGGGACATGCTGGACCTGGTGAAAAGACAAATTCCAAGGGGATCTCTTGGGCTACCATATGACAAGGTGTTCATTTCTCACCCACACAGTGGCACTAAGTGTTGGTCTTACCTGCCTGAAATATTCATATAATAATATTGGTGTGGATTTTGGTGTTATCTCTATCAATACACCATCATTTAAGTCAGAAAAAATTGTTTATTCCAGCCTTTTTCTTCCCAGTTCTTGTCACAGAGGATGGAAAGAGAAGCAGCAAAGCAACTTGTCCTTTCCTTCTGCTTTGGCCCCTCCATTCTCCCCTTTGTCTCCTGGCTTTGCCTTTCCCAACCTTTAACTCTGTCCCAGCCTTCTCCTTGACTTTAGGCTTAACCTTTTCCTTTCCATTTTGGAGTCCAAATGGCTCCTTTTCCTGTTCTTCCCCTCCTTGGGCGCTATTTTATCTCGTGCCCGCATTTCCTCCATGGATAATGCACAGTCCTTTATGATTCAAGGCTTCCCTCTGCAGCCTGGAGATTCACCAGTGACGTGGCTTTGGGCACTTTCCCATTATTTAGGTGACCTCTAGGCCTGGGGAGGAGCAGGTTTTCCTTCCAGCTCCCAGAGAAGAAAGCTGACAACAGCTGCTGTTTCCAAAACCCCAAATCAGTCTCCTTTTCCCGCAGGAGGCTCCAGCCAGTATTCCCAAAGCCTGATTTCCATCTGGCAGCGCCATTTTCTGGCCATCCCGGAGTGCTGCAGTGTCCAAGCCCTGCCTGACCCACCAGGTACTACTCAGAGCCAGGGCCCAGGTGAAATGTTCCAAATCCCCTCCACCAGCAGTAGATGCAGCTATTGGCCCCCAAATACAATTAATCTTGATTTTGAGGCTGGAAAAACCTTCACAAAAGGCTGGAAAGATTTCTTACAAGAAAAAAAAAAATCAAACAAAACAAAACCCCAAAAAACTAACAACAAACCCACTTAATTGGGTCTATTTTTGTGCCTTTATGGGCACTGGTTACTTTGCTCAGTCGTGCAAACCTCCTGGAGGGAAGGGCATTAGGGCTAATAAAATTGTAGCAATCTCCACCAATTACCTAAACTGGCTTTTCTGCCCGTAATATCATGGGTTTGGGAGCCAGGAGCTGGGGGAGTACCCGAGTGAGGAGACAGGCCTGTATTTCCAGCCCTAGCTCATCACATGTCTCTTCCCAGAGATGTAAACCTCTGTTTGTTAATCCAAAAGGCTCTGAAACAGCTGCCCCTGCACTCAGGTTGTGCAATCACCTCCTCACCACGGGCTGATTTATGGTAAGAAGTGGTCAAATCACCAAAAAAAAGAAAATGTAAAAGAGAAGAAGGGAGGAAAAGTGTTTTGCAGCTGTTTGGGTTAGTCTGAGGTTTTAAAAGCAGCTGGAAGAAGGAAGAAGCACAGGGAGGGATGGCCCAGCATCCCAGGCACAGGTAAGATGGGCAGAGGCACAGCCAGGGATTTTACTTGATGCTTATCCCCACCCAGGTGCAACACATTGATCATTGTCACTGCTAGAAATGAAAGGATGGGGCTATTTTCAGGCTCAGAAGGATTTATTGCTCAGATAAACATCAGTCTCAGAGGCACTGAGGTTTTAGAGGAGCAAGCAGTCGGCCACAGCTCAAAGTAGTCCCAAGTTCTTTGTTACAAGGCAATGTAGAACTTTCTAACCCAATGGACAGATCCCACAAGGTTCATTTTGCTTTTCTAACCTATCACCTTTACGTCTACTGCACTGCGGATATTTTC